CAAAAAGTTGATATGGTTCTGCTGTGAATATTCTCTTGATGCCTGGTTCTTATTTAACTGTTAAGAAGAGTGAACTGTGACATGAGCTGGTATCTCTTCAGCAAGTACTTTTTAAGTCTACTGTCCACTAGACACTATAAAACAGTGACAAATGAAACAAATTCCATGCCCTCAAGAAATATTCTTTCTAAAGAAGGAAATGAATAAAATAATAATGATAAAATATACAAGCATTCCAGTATTTTTTCTTATTACCATAGTCTCCCCTTTTCTGTAGGGAATACATTCCAAGACCCCCAGTGGATACATGAAACCACAGTTAGTACTGAACCCTATTATACTATGATCTTCCCTACCCATACATAACTACAATAAAGTTTAATTTGGGCACAGTTATTAACAACAATAATCAATAACCATCTGTGAAATAGAACAATTATAACAATATATTTCAATAAAAATTTCATGAATGTGGTTTTCCTCTCAAAATAGTTTCATGTATGTAATATTTTCAGACTGGCTGACATGGGTCACTGAAACCCTGGATGAAGGGGCACTGCTGTCCTATAAGCAGTGGTGGTCAGAGTGGCAGGCATGGCTGGCAGTAGCAGGCAGACGTCTTCTCCTGTTGCACTCACTCTTTTTTTTTTTTAAATAATGATAGTTTATTTTTAAATAATAGATTTTATTTTTATATTCCCCGTACAATTGCAACCCCTCATTTTGACCCCAATTTCCCTCCCCTGCCATCCCCCACCCCCCAAAAAGTGTCTCTGGTTCATAGTTTTTTGTTGATTTAGATTTTCACTTTCTTATAGTTATTCATTTTCCTGGTCCCTTATTTAAGTTTTCTAGAGTCCTGCTATGAGTGAGACCATCCGGTATTTTTCTTTTTCTTTCTGGCTTATTTCGCTGAGCATGATCCCTTCCAGTGCAATCCATGTTGCTGCAAATTGCATGTGTTTATCTTTTTTGAATGCTGAGTAATATTCCATGGTGTATATGCACCACATCTTCTTGATCCAGTCATCTATTTTTGGGCATTTGGGCTGTTTCCAAAGCTTAGCTATTGTAAACAGTGCTGCTATAAACATAGGGGTGCAGGTGTTCTTTGGAATTGAGGTTTCTGTGTCCTTTGGGTAAATACCTAGGAGTGGAATTGCTGGATCATATGGAAGCTCTATGTTTAGTAGGTCCAGAAATCTTCACCCAGCTCTCCATAGTGGTTGGACCAGTTTGCACTTCCACCAGCAGTACAGGAGAGTTCCTTTTTCTCCACACCCTCGCCAACATTTGTTGTTGCTAGTTTTTTTAATATGTGCCATTCTCACTGGTGTAAGATGGTATCTCATGGTAGTTTTGATTTGCATTTCCCTGATGACAAGTGATTTTGACCATTTTTTCATATGCCTGTTGGCCATTTGCATTTCCTCTTCAGAGAAGTTTCATTTTAGCTCTTCTGCCCATTTTTTGACTGGATTATTTTCTTTGTTGTTGTTGAGTCTCTTCAGCTCTTTGCAGATTTTTTCCTGTTGCACTCACTCTTGCTCAATCTGTTCACACAATCTAATGTTCCTGAGCCTATCAAGCACACTCCTGTGTTAAAGCCTTTGCACCAACTGTTCCATCTTTTTGAACATTATTCACCCCAGACACCTTCCCAGTGAGCACCACATTGCTTATCTATCTTAAATAACAGCTCATGCCCTCATTTCCCTAGGCCTATCCCCCCTTACACTGCTCTCTTTTTATCCCAGAGCACTCATAACCTCTAACGTGCACTGTAATTTATTTGTTTTGCTTTTTGATCTGCTTCCTACTAGTAGAATATATTTCTGTGATGTAAGACATCTCTGTAGGAAGTGCTTACTGGATTATTCCAAACAGCTCAATTAGCACCTGGCACAGGACAGGCACCAATAAATATTTCTTCAATAAAACAAGGTCAGGGAGAATTAGAGGCAAAGATGTGGCATGAGATAGTTTATGCTCTGACAGAATTATTGGCTGCTGTATGGACAATAATTTAAGGGGTCCTCTGGGTACTGGTGAAGTAGGGACACTCATTAGGAAGCAATGATTTAATTATCATTGAAGGTGAAACCATGTGTTAAGAGTGGTAGTGCTGAAAGAGGTAAGAAGGGGTAGGAGATATCACATGTGAAAATGTTATTTCATAAAATTGCAATAAAATCTAGAGCTAAAAATACTAGTGATATTTAATAAATACATCAATAAATGGTGAAAGTTAACTAAGCACTTCAGACGCAATACAAATAATAATAGAATCTTTAACAGGTACCACTTCCACAGATACAAAAATCAGACTAACAATTTTAAATTGAAGACTTAAAGATAAAGAAATGCATTTGACTTTTCCAGGAAAATCTGTGAGAAATATGAAAACATCTTCAGAGAATGTGTATATGACAGTCAATTGTTCAAAGTGGGTCTGTGATTTTTTTTTTTTTAGTGCATTTAAAATGGATTGACCTTTTTTATAAAAAAAGATTTATTTATTTATACAAGTGCTGCAGTACAGACCAGAGCCACGGGAGGGTGAGAGAATTCACCAGAGACAGAGTGGGGAGTAGAACAGGCAGAAGGACGGAAATACACCGCTGAGGGAAGCAGCAGGCGAGGCAGGAGAGGTCTACTGCACCATGTGGGAATCTCCCTAGCCGGCTGGGAATCGAACCGTCTGTCTGCCTCTGCAGACAGCTTCACAGCACTGCGCTCAACCCGCTATGCCACCAGGGAGGCCCCTGGATTGACTTTTTCTAATGTTGTTAAAATAACACCAAACAATGCTGTGTGTCTCCTGAAAATGGATCCCAAAGATATTTAGTTTGCTTTTCTTGAAGTCCAGCAACCCTGCTGGAAGGTGAGGATCTGAAATGGAGCCAACAACCCACACATCAACAGGATCCACTGAGCAACAGCTGAGATGCTAAGAGCCTAAGAGCCAGGGAAACATTTACAGAACAAGTTCTTCCACCCAAGCTCAGAGCTAAGCTACTCAAACATCAGCCATAACCCCAAGCTTGTTAACATGGCCTTTAGAACAAAACAGAAATACAGATGGGCCATTCGAGGTGGATTCAGTGATAGTGGCAAAAGATAAATTCATGGTATCTGAAGGAGGAAAACAATTATGTGTATGTGTGAATATGCATATATGCATGTGTGTGTCTATGTGCATATATATGTGTGTATATATATATGTATATATATATATACACACATACATAAACACAATAAAAGAAAAAAAATACTTAAAAGCCCTAGCACTCCAGAGTTGTTCTGCCTCAACCATTCTACAATTACTTCTAAAATTACTGCTCCATAACCGCAAAAGACACCAAATCAAGGCTCCTAACTAATCTAAGACCCAGACAAAAATAATTCATTTATGTTCTGCAGACTCAATTTCTAAAGGTGATCAAGTGTCTGATGCATTTTAGAACAATTTCTTTGAGAAACGATTAAAGTTCAAATGGTTTTAGAATTTAGGTAACTTCAAACTTCAGTTACCTAAAAAAAATGTTAATTTGTCACAGCTCATTTCTTGAAGATGCCAGAAAAATGAATTTTCTAGGTTGTAGTCTTTAAAGTTGAGACTACATATGCTAACAAAAGATGAAACTCTTTGAACACCACAGGCAATTATGTTTACTGACACTGCTAATTTAAAAACAGAAAAAAATCTCTCTCTAGGGCTTCCTACTTCTAACATGCAAAAAAAATAAATAAATAAAAGCAACTCAGTCTCAAGAGAGTGAACAGTGACAGACTGAAAATTGCAGATAAAACCACAAGTACACTTGCTGTGGGAAGGATTATAGGGTCAGTGGCCTTGCTACTTTAGGCACTACAAATATTTTGGCTCAAATCCGGCCTCACACTCTGTAATTAGAAAGAATTTTAGAAAGTTTGTGGCCTGTTTTATGAGCTTCTCATTGCAATCTGCATTGTGATCTCTCCTATGAGACATCCAGGTAGCGGGGAAATATCTCTGCTGACCCATAAGGACAGTCACTTCCAACTAACCAATTTTACTTCTTCAAGTAATATCTTTAGACCACAGCACACAGGGTATTTTAATAAAAATCAAACTAGTAACAGTGGTTTTAAAACCCAGTTTTCAGCTCTAATGCAAGGATAAGAAAATGGTCACCGTAGGTCCCACCACTATTTCATGACAGAGTCTATATAGTTCAGCAGTTGGCTTTCTACCACCCATCTTCCCATCAAATATTATCCAGATGGCTTGGGATTTGACTTCAGTTTCCTACAATGGGTCCATTGCAGGCTTTGGAAACAAGGCTTCTTGGATTCAAATCCTGACTTGACTACTGACTAGGCAAGTGAGCTCAGTACAATTAGCCTCTCATAGCTCCATTTCCTTACATGAAAAATGGGAGCAGGTAAAGTACCTGCCTCATGGGGATGACGTAAGTGTTGAGGGCATGACTCTGAATGGAAGTATTTCTTTTGGTGAACTTAATGAGTCACCAATAAAATCCTTCATTTTGAATATCTATTTTTTATAATACAAAGAACCAGCTACTGGTCTTTTCATTAGAGTAGAAATGAACACATTTTACTCACATTTGTCAGTTATTGTCAATATGCAAAATTTAAGACATTTATATCGCTACCCTATATATCTAAATTCATTATTTTGCTAACAATTTTATAAGTGAGCATTTTCACATCACAATGTCTTTTGTTTGTTGCTGACCCAGAGGCTAAATAAACAAATCTAAGCTATTGATTAATGTGCAATGAACCCATGAAAATGTTATACCAGTTTTTAGGCATGATAGGAAATTGGGAAAATATTTGAATAAGCATACATACATGTATTGGCTTAATAAGTTGAGGACATATGAAATGTAGTTGTGTAGGCAGTTTCTCTTCCATTAGAAGGATAAGAATTCTAAGATAATTAACACATTTATTTGAAATATTGCTGTTTTTTTTTTTTTTTCCCACAGCTCTTGTAGTGAGATTTCTGACCAGACGGTTCATCTGGGAATATGACCCCACCCTTGGTAGGTTCAATTTTGTCTTCTCTCCTCCAGTCAATATTTATGACCCAAAAGAGAAAATGACATTTTCTCTTGCAACATTTTAAACAAGTTTGCAATGTCTTTGGAAGTGTATTGTCTAATGATACAAAGAAGCTAGGTCTGTGCTTCTGTCTGACCTTAGAACCTTGCAGGATTTTAATGCAGAGGTGAAGAAATTAGTACAAACCAGAGATAAAAAGGAAGTGGCTACAATATGATATTCTTCCATCAAGAAAATGTAGTATTATATTAATGGGAGAAAGAGGAGACAGTGGGCATGGCTAACTTCATGTGGGATTGAACAGAGTATAAAAGTACTGAAGAGAGGGCCTCTCCCGTGGCGCAGCGGTTGAGCGCTGGGTTGCGAAGCTGCCCACAGCCTCTGCAGCGCCGGTTCCATCCCTGGGCAGCGCCGGTTCTATCCCTGGTCACTGGGTGAGGGTCCCACATGGCGCGCAGACTTCTCCTGCCGCCTGCTGCTCCCCTCAGCAGTGTACTTCGTCAGTCTGCCTGTTCTGTTCCCCACTCTGTCTCTGGTAAATTCTCTCACCCTCCCGACTTCTGACTGTACCCAGTGCTTATATAAATAAATAAATAAATCTTTTTTTAAAAAAAGTACTGAAGAAAGTATAAAAAGTGCTAAAGAGAATATAAAAGTAAAATTAAACTTCTCAATACTGACTGTGGGAAAACACAAAAATTAACTATGTTTCTACCCTTCCTCTCTCCATTGAATCTTGATTAAAGTCAATTTTTAAAAATTTTATCAAAGAAACAAAAATGGATTATCTGTGGATCTTAAAAGTTACGTAATGGTGATGTATGAAGAATCCATGGTATGTTTTTTTTTTTTAAACAAAACATCATACTTACTAGAAATCTATATAACTGTCCTCTCTAAAATAATGCTGCAAATCCATGAGATTTAATTTATGCATAAGATTTTACTCTAAATCAAGCCCTTGAGTTTTTGTTTGTTATGCTTTGGAAGCCCAGTTAGTTATGTCAAGGGAAACAACTTTGAAATCCAGAGGGAAAGGGAATGACATGCACCACTTCATTACCAGGCACAGTGCCCCTGACCAAACTGCCCATACTCACAACAGTAAAGTGGGTAAAGAGGTTTAATTTTGATTTATCACTATATGGTTCGATGGAAAAGGGAACCTTCTTTTCCCTTGTGCCTCCTTTCATTTATTTTTTTACTTTTTATTCAACAAATATTGTCTAAATGCCTCCTCTATATCAGATTATTTTAGGTGCTAAGGACAAGTGAATAGGCCAAAGGAGAAAGGCTCTGTTTGTGAGGTGGGGCAGGGGCAGGGAGGGAAGAAAGTCTCATCAAGAGAGAAGAGTCATGTGTCAAATAGCAGTAAGTGGGCCTCCCCAGAGGTGCAGCAGTTGAGCGCTGGGCTGCGAAGCTGCCTATAGCCTCTGCAGCACCGGTTCGATCCCCGGCCGCAGGCGAGGGTCCCACATGGCACGGAGACCTCTTCTGCCATGCCCCCTGCTCCCCTCAGCAGTGTACTTCATCAGTCTGCCAGTTCTGCTCTCCGTTCTGGCTCTGGTGAATTCTCTCACCCTACCGTGCTTCTGACTGTATCCAGTGCTTGAATAAATAAATAAATCTTTTTTTTTTTATTTAAAGAATGTGCTTGTTTCTTTTTTTTAAGTTTTTTTTTTTTTTTTTTTTAAAGAGGCACGTATTTTATTTATTTATTTGTTTGTTTGTTTATACAAGCACTGGGTACAGTCAGAAGCGCGGGAGGGTGAGAGAATTCACCAGAGCCAGAGCGGGGAGCAGAGCAGGCAGAAGGACCGAAGTACACTGCTGAGGGGAGCAGCGGGCGGCAGGAGAGGTCTGCGCGCCATGTAGGACCCTCCTCTGGTGGCCGGGGAGCAGCCGGGGATTGAACCAGCGCCGCAGAGGCCGCGGGGAGCTTCGCAACCCAGTGCTCAACCGCTGCGCCACCGGGATCTTAAAAAAAACAAAAAAACAAATAGCGGTAAGTGTAATGAAAAAAAAAAAAAAAAAACTGAACAGGGAAGAGGATAGAGTGGTTTTGTAGTGTGTTTAACCTATGTGGGACTTATTTTAGTGAGAAGTACAAGGTGAAGACCCAACATTTTCTCCAAATTGTTGACCAATTGTCATGTTATTATTTATGAAATAGTGCACCACTTCTCAACTACATCCATGCTGTGTATTGACCATTTACACTAGGATGCAGCTCCAGATTTGCCTTTCCAGATCCAATACCTGAACCACACTCCTATGTTAACTGTATGTTCCACAGAACATTCTGAAAGGCAGTAAAGAAAGTCTTCCTTCTTTACACTTTTAAAAAATTAGATGAGCTGCTTCCTCCAGTTTCTTGTCACATTAATTTTAGAAACTCTATCATAACATGACACAATTTTGATTGAAACTGCGGTAAAACTATAAATTACTTTGAGAAGATTCACATTTTTTATGATATTCAATCTTTTTATCTCAGAGAATAGCATGTCCCTACATTTATTAATCTTTACTTCTCCATTTTTACTTGTTTTTCAACATTAATAATTTTTACTAAGCTTTTAATATGGCCACAGTCCAATCCTTTTTTTAATTTTTATTTATTTATGCGTAGATGAACTGGGGTGTAGGCCAGAGGTGCACGGGGGTGAGAGGATTCACCAGAGACAGATTGGGGCGCAGAACAGGCAGATCTACTGAAATACACTGCTGAGGGGAGCAGTGGGCAAGACAGGAGAGGTCTGCTGTGGCCATATGTGGGTTAGCTCCCTGGCCGGGGATCAAACTCAGGCTGCACTGGTGATAGCATGATAGTGCTGAGACAACCCCTACGCCACCAAGGAGACCCCACAGTCCAATCTTAAAATGATATATTTGGATCTAAAAATGCACCTGGTTCTAAAAATAAAATTATTTTTTGTCACACCTAAGTAAATATGCATCTCTTAAATTTTAATACTTGTTGAAGCTTTACAAAGGTTATGATTCCTGAGGATCTTAATGATTTATAGGAGTTCAGAAGAAAAAACACTATTTTTTTATATTAGTACATCTCAATGAGTGATGAACCTTATGAAAAAATTATCTCAAAATTTTTGAACTCTCTCTGAATAGGTTCCAGTAACTAATGTTGCTATTTTTAATTAATTTAGGCGAACCATTTTCTATTTTTGTTTTATTCATTTTTAAAAAACAACTGTTATTAATAGGAACCTGCCTGCATCAGTATTCCATAATGTAGGCTTCCTTCATTAAGAATAATGAAACTTCATTGAGTGACCTTGTATGGTACCTCAAAAAGGATTGCAATAGACGCTAAGCAACAAGAGCGCTCTCCCCACTTCATGAAGATCAGACACATGACTCACTCCAGGTGAAAGTGGATGTGTACAAGTGTGGTGTGCACAGTGGAAGAAGTCACTAATGTTCTAGCCTAGAGGAGTTCCCAATCCATTTGCTCCAAAAGGAGTCAGCATTCGTTGGGTTTGACTTCTGTCTGATCATAGAGTTTCAAAACCATCAGCCAAAGAGAAAGCTATGTTAAAAAGCAAAGTGGCAAGTTTGCACAAAAAGCAGTCCTGATTTGTAAATTCAGTACCTTCCTTAGAAAGGTGGGACAGTTTTTTCAAGCTATCACAGAACAATTGTTCTTGAAAAGCTAAATACTATGAACACTGTTCAACATATTAACAAAATTGCAGTGTTCACTGCTCTGAAATAGTTCTGCAAAAACATGCTCACTACTTTAGTAGTAAAAGATTCCCAAACTTATAGATTTCAAGACCCAGTGTTCTGTTTTTTATTTACTTTACTTTTTTATGGACAGGGCTACCACTGCAATTCCAAATAGGAATGCAAGCAAGGGGCAGAGGGTGAGGGAATATTAAACCTATCCTTTACTTGTATTTGCATTTCATAGAAAAAGGAAGTATTTTTAATATCCAAGTGTTTTGAAGGATATAATCTAAGCATAACATTCTGTCCTTTACAGTGGACAGCTTTAGTTTTCCTTAAATTTTTCTCATTTCACTGTGTGGACCCGTGAAATCATTGTCAAAGGCTAGCAACGATCTAGGAATAGCATTAGAAAACTACTGCTGAAGCCTTTAAGATTTGGTACATGGGCCAGGAAAACCTGTATGGTGGTGGCAGGAATGTTCTGGTTATAAAACAACAGGAGCCATGTTCTGATTAGATCCCCGCAAAAGAACTAAATTTCTATATCTGACAGTCTTACTACTCCTGAAAATGTGGATTGTGGCAGACAGTACAAAGGCGGAGAGAGAGGGAAAGAGTCATCTGGGGAGAAAGAGACTGCATTGCAAGTGTTCACCACTATGACTAAAAAGCAGGCACCCCGCTGTGTGTAAGCAGATTTTGATGTCTCTGGTTAGGAAAGATTCAGACAGAAGTGAGGGTGGGAACCCGGAGACATTGTGGCCCCACTTTGCTTTCATAGTTGGTCCGTCCAGCCTGCATTATACTTCCCTCTCCTTGGAAAGGCTCATATAAAGAGACACACACCCAGAATAAATCCTCTTCTCTGGACAGTAAAGCAGAATGCTTAGCCAATTCACATAACTATTTAATATCAGCACAGTAAGGAACTTGGAGACCATCATTTTACAAATAAAGAAGCAAGTTCAAAGGAGTAAATTTATCCAAGATTACGTGGTTAGTTTGTGGTTAGACCAGCAATAGAACTCAAGTTAGTACAATTTCCATTCTACCATAAATCAACACTATTAACTGTTATTGTTATGTACTGAGAAAATATTCTAAATATGTGGAAACTTGCAAAAACAAGCTAAATTAGTCAAGGGTTTAACCAGATACAATACCCCTTTAAGCATCAACTTCTCTTAACGTACACAAAATATACTCCTATTTATGGAAATATTATTCAGATAAATATACTCCTATTTATGGAAATATTATTCAGATACAATTTTGAATTTATCTT